TGTGAGGCGCTCAGGACCCTCATGAACGTTGAGAACCCTGAGGAAGATGAGAATGCTGAGGATTCAGAGGCATAGCGTGACATGTACACAGCTGTGTACAATACAAGTGTACAATGTACAATTGCACGAGTGTACAACTGAAGACTCTTTGCAGTTGTATTTTCATTAGACTTGACTCCGTGCGGGCTTCTTCACTGGCCAGGCGTGCCCGTCAAGCGCGCCCACGCAGCCCGTCCAGGCGTCAGCCTGGGCTATCTGCGCCGCATGTCATGTGTGCGTTGCCGGTCCGTGGGTCAGCCAACCCGGCGACAAGGTTGGCTAAGGCGCTGCAATTTCAATGTTGTTCACCCTACTTGGATGCTTGTCAGGCCTAGCTGCGATGCCATCGCCGGACGAGGCCTTTGCGCGGCATGTGCACAGTGAGCGTTTGGTACACTACATGTCTTGTGCTTGTGCCAGGAGAGCGACGGCGAAGACTCCTTGCCCACGGAATCCAAGGACTTTTGTGCTTGCCCACGCTTGTATGCATTGCGTTGCACTGATTCGCGCAGGAGCTGAGTCCGACATCGCCCGCTGAGGAGCCGGACGTAGCGTGGGATTACTTCTAGGCGGCTCAGGGGTGAAAAGGCGTAATCACAAAGGCTGCTCCCTTAAAAATTACAAGGTCATTTGCTTTGTACACCCTGACACGCGCTTGTGCACTCTTGCATTTTTACGGTTCGCCGTCGTCTGCGCTTGTGTGCAAGTCAAGGGAGCCAATTGCAATGACTAACGCGTGAGTGACTCAGGGACCACCATGTAGTCATGTATATAGCGGCCTTGACTTGTATACCGTGCCCTGGCCTGAAAACTCTGCATTTAATGTATAAGAGCGCGGCCACCCAGCCAAGAGAGAATGTGAGCAACTCCTAGAGGAATGAAAAGAGAAACAATGCTTTCTATAAAGGCTGGTGTGGGACTGCTGCCACCGCTTCGGGCAGCGTGCTTGCTGTCGCCGCTCAGGGTGACCCAATTTGCAGTCTCGATCTGCTTGGAAAAAAAGGCGCGGATTGGGCAATTTGCGAGTTTGTCAGAGCCTCCGTGACTGAAAACAATGAAGTCCCAGCCAAACTGCATCCAAACTGCATCCAAACTGCATCCAAACTGCATCCAAACTGCATCCAAACTGCATCCAAACTACATCACCATGATGCACTTTGTACCGAAACTGCATTGGCGACACATGAAACTGCAACACGCCAATGCACTTTTGATACAGAACCTCACCGGAATGCAGTTTCAATGCAGTTTGCATCAACCCTGCATCACATTGATGAAGTTTGGATCAAAACTGCATCATCTTAATGCAGTTTGGATGTAGTTTGGATGTAGTTTGGATGCAGTTTCAAACAAAAGTGCATCATCATAATGCAGTTTGGATGTAGTTTGGATGTAGTTTGGATGTAGTTTGGATGCAGTTTGAGTGCAGTTTGAGCACTCGGGGCTCTAAAATTGTGAAACCAATCACTGCGGGCAGCAATTTTCTTGAAGGAGGAGCCTCTCTTTTTTCAGGAACAGCTCTTTTTTTGTAAGGGGCAGCACAGTTGTGTGACCAGAACTGCTCAATTTTTTGAAGAAACATCTAAAGATTTCAAGGTTTGAGCAATGCCGAAGGTGTACTTTGGAACAGCCGCTGCAAACAACTCTTGGTGGCAACAACTCTTGGTGGTCGCAAGTGTACATGCCCCTACCCAGTGCAAACTTGTATTGCACTTGCCTGGCCACGCTTGGAGTACATGACTTGTGTTGTACTTGCCTGGCCACGCTTGGAGCGCATGTACTTGCCTGGCCATGCTTGGAGTATACATGACCGCGTGGGACACAAGTGGTGGAAAGGCCGAGCAAGCTCAAAGTCCAAGCCCAAGCTTTTTCAAATTAATATTTCTGCATTGGCTTCTGAGCTCGCTCAGCCTCTCCTGGTTGTACTTGCTTCTCCTGGTTGTACGTTGCACTCTCGCAAATGTTGCCCGTCGCCTTTTGAGCCTTATACTTACGGTAGGTGCAGCGCCTGTGCACAGTGAACTATATAGGTCGTTTGGATGGCAACGCCTGTGGAAGACGACACACTGACAGAGATGCTTGAGGGTGAGATTACTGCGAGTCAGCCTGATCCACCAGAGCAACCGGCCGCAAAGAAGAGTCCGGTGTTGAAGCGACCTGCAGCTGCAGTGAAGTCGAAAGCTCGCAAGCAGGGCAGGGATGCCGCTGATGGCACTGATGCCAGAGATGATGCCAGCGTGGAGCTCACTAAGAAGCCAGCGCCGAAGGCCAAGCCCAAGGCCAAGGGAAAGTCCACAGAGAAGAAAAAGAAGGCTGATCCAGCGCAGCCGAAGCCCAAGCCAAAAAGGAAGAAGGAACTCCTCCAGGACTTGTTTGACTCGGGCAACCAGGTGGTGCGAGCTCGCGAAGAAGATGCAGGCGACGCAGAGGCTGAGGATGGCTTGGAGTCTGGCCGTGACCGGTCGAAAGCGCAGAAGTTCAAGAAGATGCTGGCCGAGGAGAGCTTGCCTGCTGCGGTGCTGGCGGAGTATCAGTCCTGTGGCTCCCGTGATGACAAGACCAAGCTGATCAACACTCTCTTTGTGAAAGAAGGTGGGGCGCTGAAGCTTCGGCCGGAGAAGTTGACCTTCAGCACGCAAAAGCGGCTGGAGACCACAGACTCGAAGGCGGAGAAGGAGAAGGGCATCGGCAAGAACTTGTTCATGTCCAAGTGGCAAATCAAGGATGGTGAAGCTTCAGGAGGGCGGCAAAGAGTACTACGCTGCGGCTCAGATTGAGCGTGAAAGAAAGATTTCTAAGCAGAGCAACGAACAGATTGAGGGGCAGGCCGTCGAGTTCGATGAGGACCAGTCCAAGGAGGTGAAGAAGCTCTGGTCGAAAATGACGCCGGAGTTTGCGGAGGGTAGACGCCAGCCGGATCCCGGAGTTGGTTCGGATATGGTCCCGCCGTCAGTGCTCTCTGGCCAAAATAGTGCTCTCTGGACAAACTTCATCCCCATTTGGCCTGGTGCTGGCAAGGTGAGGACCTCATGGGCCGCATTTCCACCTTGATTAGCAGCTGTGTGAGCGGCCGGACGGACGTATCTGCCACCTTGAAGGCGGCAGAAAAGTACGGGCTGGCTTGCCACTATATGTGGTCTGCTGCTGACGGGCCGCGTCGCCTTGAAGGCCGCTAAAAGGTACAGGATGGCCAGTCTGCCTTTTTTTGTAAAACCTGCTGCAGCTGCAAAATTGAAGGCTTTCTGCTCGTGTTGCATTTGTCCTCTGCGCCTTCACAGTTTTGGGCTGCCAGTTGCACCTGCCCACACTCACAGTTGTATACCGTGGAAAGCCTTGTATGTTGCCGCTTGTGCACGTCGCAGCACTTCTGCTGCGGAGTCGCTATATAAGCTCCCCCACCGCATGTGCACTGTGTGAGCTATACTTTTCCATTTTTGTACTGCGCGGAGCTGTACACAGAATTGTATGCGTTGCGCAGTGGCACAGCCACCGCCGCTTGTACGACCGGCCACTCATGTATATAAAAAGAAATGCGCCGGACGCTTGTACTGTGCGGAGCCGGCGTTTATAGGGTTGCATCACGTGCCAGTTTTGAACTGTGGGCGGCCCACGTGTGAGACACCTGTTTGCTTCCCACTTGCATTGCGCGCAGATCATATAGCAAATGTGGACTTGTATTGTGGGCATGCCCAGCATTTCCAACGCTTGTGCTTCCGGCCGCCCGTGGGTTTTGCGAAGCTTCCCTCTTGTACTTACCGCCCAAGCCAACACAATTTGCACCACAATATACCCTTGCCTGTGGTTTTTGCACAGCTCCATCTTGGGCCGCGGCGCAATTGTCCTCTGAGTAGGGTGCTGAGTTGCTGTTGGTGGACAAACACTAGGGCTCACGTTCATACCATTTTTGCGCGCGCTTGTGCGGATTCCCTTGCAGTAGCGAATAGTTGGCAGTGTTGGTTCCAAGCAAAAATCTATGGACAATTGACATAAAATTGAGACTAAATTGAAGCTAACTTGAGGCTAAATAATGTTTCAACATAAATTTAGCCTCGCCTTATTTAGACTCATTTTGAGTCTAAATTCTTGTAGGAGTCTAAATCGCATCCGAGGCTATTTTTAGACTCAAAGGATCTTTCAGGTAAGACAAGCAGCGAAGACAAACCCCCACAGCTGCAGCCCCCCTCCCGAAAACGAGATGCGCCCCCGGGAAATGTGCACCCTGCGCCATATCCGAATAATCTTCCTCGCCAATCATGTAGGGGCTGCCAAGTGATAGGGGCTGCCAAACATTATTCCGTCAGGGGCTGCCCCTCCCCTGCAAACCTCCGCTGCTGCGCTGCATCATCTTCCCGCATTCTACACACACCCTGCTCCAAAGCATCTTCTTGGCTTTCTTTGGACACCATGCGGGGGCTGCAAAAAAACCTTCTTTGAACATCACGGCGGGGCCCAACCCTAGCCCTTGTTTTGAGATTTCTATACACACCCTGCGCCAAACATCTTCTTGGAACATTAACCCTGGATTTGTCTACAGAGATGGGTTGCACTGGTAGATGCACCTCAGCGAAACGTGCGCCTTGCACCGTGTCATCTTCTTTGAACGTGATGTAAGGGCAGCCGAATAATCACCTTTGAGCATCATTGCAGGGGCTGCCACCCTGCGCCGAATCATCTTCTTGGATCCTCATGGGTGGGCCCTCCCGCTTGTTTTTAGATTTCTTTACACGCCCTGTATCATATGAAGTTATCGACGTTCGTTTTGAGGCCAGCTCCAAACATGTATTTTGTATATGTGTGCGTTCGCTTTGCGGAACCTCGCGCTAAACCACCACAAGCGCTTGCTGTCACCTTGCTCGTTCGGAATTCGTGTTCGTTCGGAATCGCTGTCACCCCCCTCTAGCGATTGAGCTGCGCATGAAGCCGAGCCTTCAGAACTCAAGCTCGTACTTAGGTAGGCCTGCCTTGATCTGTCCATGCCCGGGGACTCCTGGACGCTCCGCAAGGGCAGAACCTTAGTGAAAGCAGGGCAGCTGTTAATTCCCACGAGGCCCACCGAAGCCAGGAACCAACGTTATTTCAAGAAGGCGCCCTGGCGTTAAATCTGATTCGGGATTGCTCTCACGTTCACTATCCAGGAGCATTGCGCGCGTGGCGCGCTCGTGCTTGAATGACGACAGCACAATGATTCCAGCGGCGCGCCAGTTGATGCCCCCTGTCGATGAGACATATGGCTTCTACTGCGCTAGGAGCGCAACCCCGCTCTCGAACTCCCCCAACTGCGGCTCCTGCGCCCGGGCAACGCGCGGCGCAATATTCCTAACACTCCCCCAAGGTGCACCCAGCGAACCTCCTCGTCAATGACGGAGGTCCAAGGCTGCTCCTGCGCCCAATGTTGCAGCAGCAGTCTATGCCACTAGTTGCCTCTGCTAACCCATCGAGGTTTTCCTTGCAATCAACATCAACGCTGGAATGCCCACACGCCCCTGAAAACACGAGGAAGATTCGAAGCTGGGAGTTCGCCCGCCGCGCCCCCCGACAATCTTTGCAATCGCATCAGCTTGTGCGCCTGCACAAGCTCTGCTCTCCATGATGCAAAACAACGATTCAAGGGCAAGTAGTTTAAAACATGCTGCCACACAATCACCGGCGGGCTCTGATTGAAACTGGCCAGAACACTCGTGCGTCGCAACGGACACGTCAGGGGAGTCACGGCAGGGCTTTTGCACCTGACGCTGAGTCGCCGCATTCCGGAAACATGTGACGCCGCGTTCCGTGTTGCCACATTCCCGCGTTTTCCTGACAGAGACCGTGGGCACCACGTCCCCGACTGACGCCTCCGCACCCTGGCGCTGCATTCCTGACCACACCAGCTGGGACAAGCACACTCGAACTCAACCCGATTGGCGCGGAACATGGTTGCCTTGTGACACAGCCAGAGTCGTCGCCCAACCTAGGATGGGCGACAACATGTCCAACATCTTGAATCTCTGCCACACACTGGATTCAACCCAGATGCCAAGACCCCCCTCCCCACCAAGGGCGGCTTCGCAAGCTTCTGCAGACACTGGGCCAACCCACCTCCCTGGCAGTGCTTCTCCACCCTTCGGACGACGCAGCTCGTGCGCGTGAATGCGACGCAAACGAGGGGGAAAAGCCGTGAGATGATGTTTAGACGCTCCAACGGTGCACCAAGGACAACGTGTTCAAACAGACCGCGTCAGACGTTGCTGTTGGCATCATCTGTGTGACGGCGCGCGCGGGCCGCGGCGCTGTTTTCTTCCGTCGCCACGTGAATTTGGCCTGACGACCTAAGCCGAAATGATGACGGGGCATGGTCTTGCACATGTGCCCGCGCGCGAACCCTGTTGCTGCTTTCTCGCATTCTTGAAGTAACTTGGCTTCGGGGAATTCGTCTTCGCAATCCCCCTTCTGGAAATTCGTCTTCGGGAAATTTGCCTTCGCAATTCGTCTTCAGGAGGAATTCGGCTTCCGTGGAATTCGTCTTCGTCTGCGGGTGGAGTACTACAGCCCAAGCGGCCGTAATGTGAAAAGTCAAGCTGCACGCGCGCCGAGCCCATGCTGAAATTTGCTGTTGGTCGAAGGGACCCAGTTCTGGCGTTTGCGTTTGCAAGCGAACCCGCACGCCCCTGAAAAACAACAAGAGACATGGAGGGGTTTTGAGTTGGAAACTAAGGTGCTTGCGTGAAAGCGGCCTCCTTGAGCTCGGCCAGGAAGGCCCTTGTGCGGCAGGAGCCGCCTGCCATGGCAGGCGCTGGTTGGAGGCCTTCCCCGCTCCTGCGTGAGTTGGGGCTTTCTGGGGCCTCACCTGTCTCTGAGTCAGAAGCCGCTTGAGACCCGCTGGAAGAACTTTGCGAGGGTTGCCGACCTGAGATATGGCAGAAGGTGTTTGGTTGATGCTGACCGGGTTGGCGTCGCAGGCTTGAAACTGTCAACTCCGCATCACCCTCAGCGCCACGCACCCAAACCCTTCACTGTCCAGCGGGTGTTTTCTTAGATTTGCGTAGCAGAAGTTTGGGAGTTTGCTGCAAGTGTGTCATTTCTGTCATCTTCCCATCACTCAGAATGCGCTGAAAAAGAGACAAAACTTTCCAACAGGCTAGGATTTAGTGTCACACAGAGAGAAGGTTGCAGGACGGCTTCGCTAGAAGAAAACAATGGCGCTTGCGCGAGTAATTCTACTCCGAATTCTTTGCAGCCAACGGCCGCGCCCATTGCGCCAGGCTAGGTTTTCTTGCTGCCTTGGCTGCTCCCCCGGACCATTGTCAACACACACGCAGCAGGGTACAAAACAGTCAGAGCTTCTGCCATCTGAAGAGGCTACGTTTAACATTCCGGTTTTTAATAGGCTAGAGCGGCATCAAAACAGGTGGGTACTAAGTAGCTTCCCCCAAGCCCACTTTAAAAAAAACTTTTGTCCATTTAATAACCTATTTTGTTTCAGCGTGACGGAGCGGATTTAAGTTGGCCAGTCAGTCAGCACACCATCAGCGAGCGCCGCGCGCGGCATGATTCATTTTTCCCTCACTCTGTGGAGCACCATGCGTCGGCGCCAATCAGCCAGGACCGCCGAAATTCCTGCCAGCCGCCTTCCGTCCTCCTCTTCGCCTCTTTTTTGAGCTCAACCTGGTTGGCCCGGCTGAGCCTGCGCAGGCCCGCGCCCGCCTCACATTGAGGTTCGGCTTCTCAGCCTCGTCGCTTTTAATTCTCGGCCGGGCCCTCCTTCGGCGTCGGCCTCAGCTTCCCCTTGTCCCTTGACTTCGCCCCACCTCGGCGTCGCGCCACCCAGCCTGCGCCATGTCCGTCTTGAGTGCGCCTCATTGTTGCGAAGGGAGGCCCTAGCAAACCTGGACTCCGAGAAGCAAAATTGGCGGAGTGGGGCCCCGCGCCAGGACGAGGTTTTTGCAGTAGCTTGGCAGCCGCAACCACGCGGTCAGCGCGCGGCCGGCAGGATGAGGGAGCAGGCTTGGTAAAGACACTTGCCTGCCAGTAGCAACTCACGCGGAGGAAGTCTTGGCAACAAACGAGAAGCGCGTTTTCGTCAATTGACTTTTCGAAAACGCATGCGCTCGTGACAAGTGGCGCGCGCTTGGTTTGCAAGCGCCGCGTCTGTGAAGACACAGACGCGAGAAAGCTGCGCCCACAATCGCTTTGCCCGATACATTGTGCAACTTTGATGCAAGACGCGGTGTTTAGACCAAGCTCTAATGAATACTTGTTCGATGCCAATTCTCTTGCTCGGCAGCGGGCCGAAAAAACTGGCTGGTGAGATGGCAGGATGCAACGGGTAGCTGGTGATAAGTCTGCCTGGTCTGAATTCACGGCGAGCTGCGCTCATAAAGGAGGCAACTGCCGCCTGCAAACATCAAAACTTGTATAACGTGCAACTTCTACTCGTACATTTGATCTATCAATTCTTCTCGCGCAAGAGAAACGGGCGCGTTCAACATTTGCCGCGCAAGCAAAAACATAATACGAAGCGAACTGTTTTCACTGCCTTCACTGCTTCCAACCGAAAATTAACCTTTTACCTGTGTTGAATTTTGCGCATCTTGCCATCCCAGTCCCAGTTTGCAATTCATGCAACTGGCTCTTAGAAGGAGGACACTCCTCCAGGGCGCGACAAGCTTGTCACGGCCCGTTAGCCAAGAGTGCCCGCGGCCCCTGCAGGCATGATGGCTGGGACCGCGTGCGCTTCAACGAGCGCTTCCGCCGCCCGCCTCTGCCTGCCGAAGCAGCCCGCCGCTGCAGGCGCCGCAGCGCCGCCCAATCAGCGCCCCTCCCGACACACCGTCGCTGATTTCCTTCGCGACCAGAGACAGCCCAGTTCCGCCAGATGACGTTTGGCATCGCCGTGGCCATTGAAAGTCAAGATCCGAAATTCGCTGCAGCGCAATCGCAGCGCGAGCGGCAGCGCGAGCGTCAGCGACGCAGCGGCGGCGGCCCGGCAAAGCGGGCGCGGCCACCTAGATGCTCCAACAGCGCGTGCGTCACATTTCCAGGGAACCGCACCAGACGTCGCTGGTGGCAACGGGCGCCGGAAAATCCCATCACTTTTCTCCTTCCCGCACGTTCCTCCAAAAATATCAAAATTTCTCTCGCCAAAAGAATGTCTTTTTCTGGTGTTTCTAGTGTTGTGCTGCGTGCTGCAAAGGCTGCTCACCACCTGCAGGCGCGGCTGAGCTGAGCCTGGCCTGGGATATATCTGTTTGACTGACCTGAGACAGCGAGGAGCTGTGCAAGGGTGATCTGGGAAAAGTCTGGCGTGGTATTAGTTGCTTGCGTTTGTTCTCATAAGTTCTGTCGCTGTCGCGCTCCTCATTTCAACAGGAGGCGCCGTTTGTGGAAACTAGCCTATTTTGTAGTGTCTCGTCGTCGCCGTCGTCGTCGCCGGCCGCCGTAGGGGATGTCGGAAGTAGTCCTGTAACATGGGCGAGGACTCTCCTAAGTAGATTGTAGAAAGCCTCGCCTGCTGAGTCGACGAGGAACACAGCTAAAATGGTAAACGGCATGGCCTGCACTGCCAAGCCGCTTGTCAGCCCCGATGAAGCCGAAGCACCGAAGCAGCTCGCACTCGAAGAAGCTGCTCAGCTGTTGGGGACAAGGTGGCCACGGCGGCAACGATGGGCCTCCTGGGCAACGCGCCACCTTTTGCCGAAGAAGGCGCGACTTGTAGCGCAAGCGCAACTTCTTTTGGCAAGACCTGCGGCTGGCGAACCTGGGCCCCAATCAACGTCGGCCAAGTGTCGCAGCCTCAAAATCTGCGCGGGGAGGCTGGGAAGGGCGTGCTAGCGGGGTAACGTGTCGCCCGCGGAATTCGTGGATGCCAGCGTACGCCTGGCATGACTTTGGCCGACCGCGCCAAGCACCGCTGACTACATCATGCGGGCGCGTGGGCGGACTGGTCGATGGCGCGAGCGTGGGCTTCTTGAACCTCGGCAGCTTTGCCGTCAGCAAGCGGAACAAGTGTCTTGGCCCTGGCAAGGTCCAATGAAACAAATTTCCGGTCGAGAATCAATTCTCGTGAGATGTCACAGCCCCCCCTAGCTGACTGGGTCTCGTGGGCCATTTTTTGAATTAAATTCAGCGGAAGAAGGCCAAATGGTTGCTCTAATTTTCTCATCACCGCCATGTTGATCCTAGTTTCAGAAAACACTCAAACTCAGCCACGACATGCGCAGCACCCGCTACAGCTGACGCGCAATAAGTCACTTCAATGTAATCAAGTTCTCACAAACAAAAACAACATGAGGAAAGTGTCTAGCCGAACCTTTTCCAAGGTCGTTTGGCAGCCAGGTTGTAATGGACGCAATGGAAACAATCTGCTGCCTTATTGTGGCCCCGTGTTTGCCTTCTGTTGGCCTTGTCCAAGAAATCTTCAAATACGAATGAGGGCTGCCCATTTTCCTGCCCTTTTTTCGGACTTATTTCACAAATCTTCAAATGCTGTTGGGGGGCTGCAAATCTGGGGGGGGGGGGCATTTTTTCCTTGTGTTGGCTTGATTGCAAACCTCGAAATCAGGCCCTCTTCTGGTTGACCTATGTTGAGTTTAGGGAGGGTCTGGCCATTTCTTTGACACAGTTTGTACTTATTGCTGGGGAAAAGGGAGCGTCAATCAATGGTGAGTAGTGTGCCTGCCACCAACCAGACCATTGGCCCTAGTCCAACTAACCTGAACGGGGGTAGTTGGCTGGGGGGCAATTTGCAACCTCATGAAGTTTCAGCGTTGAAGCCCTGAAATCGCGTTTACTTTGAGCGTCTGGCATCGAGCTATTTTACAGCTGCGCTACTGTTTTTACGCAATAGGCAGCTCTTGCAGAGCTACGCAATAGGCAACTCTTGCAGAGCTACAGTCCAGGTTCTGGAGCTCAAGAAGAAAAAAAGCGTTGCCCTGCACAAGCCTAAGCCGCAGCTCAAGAAGCCCGCCTCATCCTTTGCAAAGAAGGCTAACTTGACGAAGCCACACTCCCGCTAATTTCAAGACCCTTGTCTGCCGTGATACGCCCGAATCAATCAGAGTCACTTGGCGCTCGCTGCGTTTGGCTTTGGTTGAAGAAAGATGTTCTGAGAGCTATGGTTATTGTCGTAGCTGAACGAGGAAGAAAAATATCCTCCGCGAGGCTACGTTAGAGCAGGCACATTGTTGCCAAACAATGCTTAAAGTCATCTTAAAAAATCGAAAACTTCCGCTAAGCAATGGACAGCTTTTGGTTTTACACGTGTTACCGAGCGCGTCGGCAGCATGGAGTAGCCGAGAGTAGCTAGCCGGTCCGATCATCCCTTCCCTCTTCGCTCCAGCTGCGGTGTGGGAAGGGAGAAACCGTGTGAGAAACGAAGGGCAACCCCAGCCTGGCGCGCGAATGAACGGAATGGGAAACGATTGGCTGACCTGCTAAGAACAGTAATGGGACAGTGAAAGCGACTCACTCGCCGCGCGGGGCCCCGACGTCTGCGCCCTTCCAAGCCCTGCGCGGATGAGACACTCCAAGCCCGTGCGGGACTGGAGGCAGCGTCAAAGCTGAAAGCTTCGTGATCCTTCTGACGATTTGTCAAAGCAACATGTTGCAAAGAAAGGCGCTAGTGCTACTTCAACTTCAATTGCAAGACGATTGGTTGATCTGGCCACTTACACACACACATCACGCCGTTGGGCTTACACGGGGCTAGAACTTCAGCTGAGTTCGGAAGAACTGGGTGGCAAATAAGGCAATGCCCCCGCGTTGGTTTGTTCCGTTGTGTTTCCCACATAAAGGGACTTGCGCCATCTGCTGTCACCTTAACCAACAATTTCGAAATGACGTTTAGCCATCCTGGCACACCGCCGCTGCAAGGGTTGCTTTTGCACCAACCCTACCTCCAAAAGTGAA